GCAGTTAAATTATGTGCCAGTGTCCTCGATGATCAAACGGGTTGAGATTTCAGTGAGATGAATGAGGAGCGGGTGGTGAAAGGGGACCTCCGCTACCAAAAGCATGGCGAAAATGACCTTTCCGCGCGTCACTAAAATCGTCACAACTTGACCAAATGTCATTTTGACACGGAAATTTTGTTACATCATAGGACTAGTATTAAAAACTGCGTCTAATGTATATAGTGGATATGCTGGGAGCTCCGGGCACTATAAAAGGTTCCCTCGTAAGAATCGAGCGTTTTTGCGAACTTATGGCGCCCATAACGTGCTGATTTTTGCGCATCTGCGCAAGGGTATACGGAGGCCAGCCACCCACCAAAAGCCACTCAACAAAAGCCACTCCCCATAAGCCACACTAGGAAATAAGCCACTCACCAAAAGCCACCTGCCATAAGCCACCGTAGGAAATAAGCCACTTCTAGAAAAACTACTGTTATCATCTTCATTGATAAAACCTAGTTCAAAAATAAACAATCCAGAGACTGTAGTGAGATTGTTAAATATCAAATCAGCTATTTAACATTACAAATTTTAGGAATGTGAGAACGGTTAGGGAAATGGGTTATAAGCGTTCCGATCCCTTTCGGTGCCTTTAAAATTTTAAATTGATGTTGAATTCTACTGAGGTCATTCTCCTTGAATATCTTCAACTTATATATACCCTACACCACTCTTAGAAATCCACACGGTATTCATATATAACTCAACTAAAGTGGGATTGGTAAGTGGATAATACCGTGAAGAAATAATATCTCGGTATTAAAGCTTTAATTTATTGGTATCAAATTTTTACGGACGGGGATAATTTTAATACCGAGAAATCAATAACTGATTATTGTTCATGGTCTGGTGTGACTTACATATACCAGATTTCTCAAACTGTACACTCACATCCCAAATTTTAGCTGAGGTTGAAAATATTTAAAAATCTACGTCAATTTCGGTGCTCCATGGTCTGAGGTCATACCAAATTTTAGCTTCGTACAACATATTTCAGAAATTTGCTTAGGTTACTCTATCGAGTCCCCAAGAATTTAAATACTAAATTTCCAGCTTGTGTGGTAAATACAAGGACTAAGCGTAGTCCAACCCCCGGTTTATTAATAAATATGATGATTATAAGAGTAGCTTTTTCTACATGGTGGCTTATTTCCTACGGTGGCTCATGGAAGGTGGTTTTTGGAGAGTAGCTTTTTCCTGGGGTGGCTTATTTCCTAGAGTGGCTTATGGGGAGTGGCTTTTGTTGAGTGGCTTTTGGTGGGTGGCTTACGTCCGCAAATCTGCGCAAGTGCCGAACCAAATGTTGTTTCTAAAGACTTCCTCTCTCAAACTAACATGGTCAAAAAAAAATCTCGGCTGAACATGGTTTGCGCTCCCATTGTGAGTTTACTTACACTCAGAGCAAAAAGTAAGCAAATTTGCTACCGGGCGGTGTCTATATATGACCTCACCGGTTTGGTAGCGATTTGCTACGAAATTGTAGTAAATTTGCTCCCACATTTTGTCTCACCGTAACAGCGCGGTAGGGAAATACTAGAACATAGTAACATATTTACTACAACTCTGTAGCAAATCGCTACCAAACCGGTGAGGTCATATATAGACACCGCGTTTAGCGATTTTGCTCTGAGTGTACAGGAATACAAAGATCCATTGCGAAATTATTTTTTAAAAAATTCATAAAAAAATTCGGAAGTATGTTCAGCTTACGTTAATGATGACATTCATAAAAATTATATTTTCAAAATTTTTTAAAATTTGGTAATACAATTCTACAAAGTTTCATATATCTTCCTGAATTGCGTTCAAATTATGAGGGGAGAAAACGCCATCTTAATTATATACTTGTTTAAGCCATCTTAATTATATACTTGTTTAATAAAATGTGCAAGAATTATATTTCTGACTTCAGATCATGTCAGATTTTAATTTTTGGTGTATTCAGTTTTTTTAAACACTGTTTTCCACAAAAAAATTTGAGAAAGTTATTTACAAATACATAAAATCATGAGCAGCTTTATCAAATTCACAAACTAGACATATTTTTTTAAAAAAGAGTTTACGATAATTTGATTTTTTATTTTATTTGGCAAACTCGTACAGAAACTTGTTTTTCAATTTAGTAAAGTTTACTTTATAAAATTTCCAAAATTTAGGAAATTTACGAGTGTCACAGCCACAACTATTAGAGTGGATACAACTCTCAAGTGTCTCGGTAGTGAGCGCAATAGCTGATTGTACTTCGTATGTTAATCAAGTGGACGAGGCAAGTCGAGACAAAGCTTCCTGGAACCGTTTTGTTCTACCCCACTTGATTAACACACGGAGTACAATCAGCTATTGCGCTCACTACCGAGACACTTGAGAGTTGTATCCACTATACCTAATAGGCAGCTCATGACTACGTACCTAAAATTAGAGCGGGTCTTATAAGTACCCGATCACTTGCAACTTTGGCCTCAAAATGGTCAAAAATGAGTTTTGAAATCTCAAATTTCTGTAGAATACTAAAAATATATCTAGCCAAACATATCCAGGAAGGAAAAAGATTTTAACCCATGATCCACTTTGCATTTAACTTTTTTCTTCGCACCCGCCATGACTGATTTTTTGGAAGACTTTGCAACTTTATTGCTAATTATCTCCTACCTGAATCGAAATTTTCTTAAAGTTGCAAGTTGAAACTTTCAACTGTTTCACAAAGCTGGAAGTATGTCTTCTTACATATTGCCCAATTTTTTTTATTGCGCGAAGATAAGAGTTGAATGTGAGGTTTTAATTTTTCAACGTGAAATTGAATTTTTTTGCGATTGCTTCCTTCATAGTTGTTGCATTATGGACTGCTCGAAGTTCGGTCCAAAAAATTACATTTTATATTTTATAATACTCCTTGATGAAATGAATCAGACGGTCAATCTCATATTTCCGAAAACAAACCTGCGCGTCCTCATAACCCTTGTCAACTGAGGGGTCCGAAACATGCCCAAATTGACCGAACGCCACCCAAACCTGAGATTTTTTGAGAAATTGCGAAAAACATCTCAATTTCTCTACGGTTTTCAGTTGGGAGATATATTTCACATGAAAAAATTGCCTTCCCGTAGTTTTTGTCACGTTTTTAGCCCGAGTCAGGGCTTATGTACCCGTCACGTCCGTCTGTCCGTCTGTCTGTCTGTCTGTCTTGCGATAACTGCCGTAAAACTAATCCGATCGACTTGAGATTTTGCACAAATGTAGTATGGGTCAAATGAGGAGTTAAGTTCGAAGATGGGCGAAATCGGTCAAGTGATTGACCGGTGGGGGTCATAAAGGTGGGTGGGGTATTATGCGCCAAATTTTCAAAATTATAGTAGGAAGCTGAAATTTGGTACAGAGGTTGATGATGGTTTGTAATGAAAGAATATAAAGTAAAATTATAAAAATTCTCATGTGGAGGGACCCTAGGGGGTGACCCATACCGATGTTTAAAACTCATCCAATCGAGCTGAAATTTGGTACAGAGGTTGTTAATGGCTACTAATGAAAGAATATGAATTTAAATTTGACACATTTTCATCCGTACAGACCGTATAGGGTGACCCATACCAATTTTTCAAATTCGTGAAATCGAGCTGAAATTTAGTAGACAAGTTGATAATTGCTCCTAATGAAACAATATGAATTAAAATATGACAAAATTTCATCTGGAGGACCCTGTTGGGTGACCCATACCGAGTTTTTGAAAACCTCGTATCAAGCTGAAATTTGTTAAATAGGCTGCCAATTGTTATTAATCGAAGCATGTGAATTTAAATTTGAAAAATAAATTTAAATTTTTATATTTTTTGAAATCAATTTGCAATAAAATTTCATGCAAAAAAGTCGGATTAAGTGATAACCACAATTTTGCCTGACTCGGGCTATATCAAGTCTGCACTGTAGGTTTTAAGAACGTAAGACTCGTCGTCAGTAACCAACTTTTTTGGTGAGATTTTGTTGTGAAGCTTGGGAGGTCGTACGATTACCATTTTTTCTTCAGTTCCCGTATGTTTTGCAGGAGATTCCTTTGCATTCGCTTTGACCCCCAACTTATGGACCTTAATATGATGCATATAGTTTGCATTAATATTTGACTTCATGGCCGCATCAGGCACCGACGTGGATGGATAATTTTCAAAAAAACATTCAATCGTTTTCAATTTTCGAGGGGTCGATATGATGGTTTTTTCAAATTGTGGTTTTTTGAAGTTGACATTTTCGGATTCTCCATACTTTTTTTATGTATGTCTTAATTTTTGCACGGCCAGACCACTCTCTGTTAAAATGTAGTCAGGCCTTCTTCGAGTGTATGTCGAACAAATTTTTGTACTTACAAAAACTTGTTTCCTGACTTTTTGACTTCGACATCGTCTACGAAATTTGTTTTCCATTAAAGCTTTTGAAATTTTGGCGGACCGTAGGTAGATATATTTAGCGTATTCTACAGAAATTTGAGATTTCAAAATTCATTCTTGGCCATTTTGAGGCCGAACTTGTAAGTGATCGGGTATATATAAGACCTGCTCTATAAATAAATTGATAAAATTCGTAAAAACTACTTTTTTAACTTCGAATCGTTCCAAATTTTGACATTTTATTCACACGATAATTTACGAACAAAATCATTAACAGCTATTTTGATCGAATTTACAAATTGGGAACGTTTTTTTTATATAGAAAAGAGATATTTATAAGTTTACGAATTACAATTTGATCTTCATTCTGGATATTTGAAAACTCGTACGGAAACTTTTTTTCTCAAGTTATTTCCGAGTTTACTTACGAAATTTGGGAAATTTATGTAAGAATGACAACCATTTTCCAAAAACCACAACACAAACTCTACTCGATTTCGAGTCGTACCTAACTTATAATTAAAATAATACAACTCATAAAAATTACGATTTCGACTTCAAATAATATCAAATTTGTATCTGCTTTTATTCCATTCAAGTCTGTGGATGCACTTAATACGCTTTAATCTAACAATTTTGTCCTATTGTTTATGAATAAAATAATAATCACAATAACAAATTTGGAACATATATTCATAAATAATATATTATCAATTTACGAGAATCTGATTTTCCTTCTGAAATTTTATAAACATTTATTATAAACATGTGAATTTATTACCGAGTTATAAATTAACCTGAATGTGTAAAGGGTGTTGATTTAATCCGCGAACATCCATTTTTCGGCTCACGCTCGAGACAAAGTCTGCTATAATTATTGAACCCGTTAATATTTTTCTTTGAAATTTTTACCATGTGTGGAACGATGATAGGTAGTAATCATTATCACAATACCATTGGGATGCAGGTCTTGGATATGAGGAATTCCAGGTGAAATAAAAAATCCACCAAAATTCGGACGTGCCTGAAACACTTTGTGCCAATGGATGAACACAAATTTTTCGAACATGAAGACTATCTGAACAACTCAAATGGGTCCCACCTACTAGGAAAACAACAAATATGTTGATATTTCGTTCGAAAACTTGAAGTTCTCGTCGAAATGGTTCAAGGGAGTGGAATAACGGAAAATGGATTTAACGAAAATCAAAGATAAATTGTCCATTGCGGTAAAAACTATCGTCGAATTGGCATTATGTGGTCACAGAACTAACAAGCTAACGGAGAAAACTCATTTTCCTTCCAAACATAATGATTACCGTGTTGCATTTGCATAAACCCCTCGAAAAAGTGGGTATCTGATGACGTTAGGAATTTGGTCACCACATCCGCGGAATCGATGAGGCTGAAATTAATGTATATCCAATATGATACTGACAAAATTGAAGATACAGAACAGCAAAAAAATCGGACCAGTCATTACTGAGGGTCCAGAAATTTGGGTCGGAAGTTGTGGTATCAAGTGGCTTTTGGCGCGTGCCGTGACATCTCTAAATACTGTATGAAAATGAGAAAACATGATGAAACGGGAGATATGGACAAAATGCGACCTATGTGCTCTGATAGCTTAAGGAATTATTGCCAGTTAAGATGAAAATTATTTTCAACCAGGACAATGTCACATATCACATCGAAGACTCCACTATGTAGATATTGGAGCCACTAGTTTCAATCGTACGTAGGAAATTTTTGTGGAATGATAAAAATCTGGCCGCATATTCCCAGGATAACATGTTGCATAGACCTAAGGAAAAAGTGCACCAGCTCCAAAACCTTCAACATGGGAAGAGATAATTACCAAAGTTCAAAACAAATTAAATCCAGTGCCAGAATCAACTTTGGGAAAATTAGCATGGAGGCTACAGCAAAGAGCGGAAGGGATGATTGATGTGCATGGTATAAAGAGCAAATACTGAGGCATCAATGAAAAAAAGATAGGCTTTGGTAGTATTCGTACTTTTGTAAAACAACCGCTTCCTTTTTGCAGTTAAAAATGTTCGCGGATTAAATCAACACCCTTTATTAAATAATACGATTAAATTCACAAAAATTACATTTCCGACTTCAAATATCAAATTTTTATGTTTCTTTTTGTGTTTTATTTTTATGTTTTTTATGTATGTATATGTTTTATACCTATTTTTATTCCATCCGAGTTTGTGGATACACTATACGAATAAAATTATAATTAAAGTAACAACTGTGACGCATAGATATTTTTATTTAAAAAAATATATTGTCCGTTTACAAGAATAGTATTTTCCTTCTGAAATTTTACAAACTTTTGGGAACCTTTTTCCCAATTTGTTTCCTTGTTGGCTTACCGAATAGCAAAAATTCATAACATAATTAGGGAAAATTCCATTAAGATAAATTTTTTACCTAAGTTGCAAGTATCGTGATAAAATTCACAGGTATATTTTCGAAGCGTATTAAATTTTATTTATTTATCTACAAATTTATTCCATCCACCCCTTTTAACACTTTTTTACACAAATTATTTACGAATAAAATCATTAGGAGGTATTTTTATCAAATTCACAAATTGGGCACATATTTAAAAACCTATCAGTACAGCTTTGCTTAGCCCGAACCAGGAGTGATTAGTAAACCCATGTTTGTCAGTAGTTTTCTATAAAATTATGTGCTACTATTTTACACTAATTTGTGGGTTAACTAGCATCAATCTTTCGTACTACTAGGCTCCAAATTCTAAAAATATTTACTATCCTTGTCCTTGACTACTTCCCAGTGGGGGTCGCCTCTATAGCCCCTCTGGTTAATTTTTGTCATATTTAACTTCATATTATTTCATGAGAAAGCAGTAAGCATCTCTGGTCCAAATTTCAGCTTTCTATGCTAATTTATAAAAATCGGTATGGGTCACCCCATAGGGTCGCTCTAGATAAAAATTTTACCAATTTCATGTCATATTCTTCCGTTAAGACCCATAAGCAACTTATCTACCAAATTTCAGCTCGATATGACGATTTTGAAAAATCAGTATGGGTCAACCATAGGGTCCCTCAAGATGAAAATTTTTCCAACTTGAACTCATTTTCATCTATTAGGAGCCATTAGCAACCTCTTTGCCAAATTTCAGCTTTCTGCGACAATTTTGAAATTTTGGTGCATTATACCCCACCCACTCCGATGACCCCCACCGGTCAACCACTGGACCGATTTGGCCCATCTTCGAACTCGTTTCCTAACTTTGTCCAATATGCATATGGTGAAAATTTCAAGTCAATCGGTCAACCTGTTCGAGAGTTATCGAAGACAGACGGACAGACAGACAGACAGACAGACAGACGGACATGACAATTACATAAGCCCTGGTTCGGGCTAAAAACCAGTGATTTTTGGAAGTTTACGAGTTATAGGCTGATTTTCCTTCTGAAATTTTATAAACTACTTTGAGACTGTATTTCCTTTGTGATAAATAATATGATAAAATTGTCAAAAATTACATTTTCGACTTCGAATCGTATCAAATTTTATTTATTTTTTCATCCAAACCTGTAGACACTTCAAATCCTTTTTTGATTGAAAAAATAAAGCACTATTTTAACGAATAAAATTATTAACAGCAATTTTTATGAAATTCACGAACTTAGCACATGTTTTTATAAAAACCAGAGATGTTTGTAAGTTTACGATTTGTAATTTGATTTTTCTTCGGAAATTGTAAAAACGTTTGGGAACCATTTTTCCAGATTTAGTTCCCAGTTTACTTCCAGAATTACAAAGATTCATTGTAAAATTATGGATAGACGACCTGTTGTAATTATTGGGTACAATCTATCTAAACTATATAAAGCAGGCGAGTGTATCGCTGCTGGGTCGGTCGCTTATTTGAGAAGTTAGCCTCTCCTTTTCTCTCTCCACTCTGCAGGGAGCGAAAAGGGTGGGCTAACTTCACTAATGTTCGGGTAACGGGCTTATCGACGGGCCTATTTTGCACGTCGATTGACGGGCTTCTACACTAGTAATCAATATTTCATGCTGATTACATTTCGTGACTCACTCACTCGATGTAAAAATTTAGAGCCACTAGGTTTTATAGGTTAAAATTTGTTCCTTAAAATTTTGTGGGTGGAAAGTTGTAAACAGCTTTTAGGTTTCAATTCAATGTTGACTGCGGGAGAAATTCGTCTGAATTACGTATTTTTTTTAATACAATTTTTTCTCTGAGTTCAAATCGTATCAAATTTTAATCTCATTTTTATTCCGTCTAGTACTTTTTTATGGACAAATTCGACACTATATTATAATTTGCAAATAAAATCATTGGAAACTAGATACATATTTGATCAAATTCGCCAATGCGAAACCATTTACTTTACCTAATTTACCACTATAATAATAAAATTCGTAAAACTTACACCTTCGACTTCTAACCCCATCAATTTTTATCTGTTTTTACTTCATTCAAGTCTGTGAATGGATTTATATAATACGCTTTCATGCAAAAATTAGGCCCATATTATTGACGAATAAAATCATGATCAAACTAACAAAATTGGCACATATTTTATGAAAAAATAAAAAAGAGTTGTAAGTTTACGAGAATCTGATTTTCCTTCTGAATTTTATAAACATTTATTATAAACATGTGAATTTATTACCGAGTTTATTAACGAAGGTTGGGAACCTATTTTTTTAATTTATGTATTTCTCAATTTAAGTACGTACAGAATTGCAAAGATTTGTTACGAAATTAGAAAAATTTAGAAATTAGAAATTAGAAAGAAATAAACCTAACAATGCGATGCTGTGAAGTGTAACCCTCCGATTTGGCTGAAATTTTGAAATTAGGTGGTCCAAGTCAATACAACTAACGTTTCTTCAGCCAGTTTGTGCGATGGTTGGAGTTACTCAAAATATTTGAGGTCAAAGTTGAAAAAACGGCCGACTTTTTCAGGCGGAGTGAGAAAACTCCACTTCCATTCTCTTCTCGCGTTGATTTTCACTCCGAAAAATAATTCCTTTCATCACTTTTAAATTTAATTTATTATAGAAAAGCATTAATTATTCACTGCACCTGGGTCTTGGTCGTTGTTTTCAAATGAATTGAAAATTAGAATAACCATTTTTCCATTTTCTAAATGGAAAATAAGTTAAGTTTTTCCATGTTTATTTGAATTTATAATCGCATTGATTTTATTCAGGTTTCTCACAAATACGCCTTCATACACAAGCGTAAGTAGTGATGCAAAATAACCAAAATAAAACATTATTAAATAGGAATTAACACGCCTAGTATTCACTTAATTTAATTCATAATTGAATAAGTGAGATTTTTACTTCTTTGCATTAAAAATTCATACAAATATTAATTTATAAATTCATTAAAGGCAAATAAACATGGAAAAACTTAACTTACTTTCCATTTCGAAACCGTTGGTTATTCTGATTTCCAATTCATTTGAAAACAAAGTCGAAGACCCAGGTTCAATGAATAATTAATATTTTTCTATAACAAATTAAACTTAAAAGTGATGAAATGAATTATTTTTCGGAGTGAAAATCAATGCGAGGAGAAGAGAATGGAAGTGGAGTTTTCTCACTCCGCCTAAAAAAGTCGGCCGTTTTTTCAACTTTGACCTCAAATATTTTGAGTAACTACAACCATCGCACAAACTGGCTGAAGAAACGTTGGTTGTATTGACTTGTGGACCACCTAATTTCAAAATTTCAGCCAAATCGGAGGGTTACACTTCACACCATCGCATTGTAAGTTGCAACTAAACTGATAAAATTTATATAAATTACATTTTCGACTTTGAACGTATCATTTTTTTTACACAATCCATCCAAGTCTTGTAAATTATTTACGAATAAAATCCTTAATAGCAAATTTGATCAACAAATTTGGCACACATTTTATAAAAATGAGATGGTTAGTTTGCGGGAATCTTATTTTACTCTTGAAATTTTTTCAAATTCTTGGAAACCGTGTTTCTCAATTTATTTCCCAGTTTACACGTTTACAAAGATTCATTGGGAAATTGTGAAAAATTACAAAATACCAAACTCAAACCTATGCTAGTTGTAATCGTTATAAAATTTATTCAAATTACAATTTTGACTTTAAGTTGCATGAAATTTAATTTAATTTTTACTTATCTTTTGTAATAGTCTACCCAAGCCTTTTGATACTTATATTTTTACATATGTTTAGCATAACCTGAATTTCCTTCTGAAATTTTGAAAACTATTGGATAGCTTTTTCCTCAATTTATTGCCTAGTTTATCACTCTAAGAGATGCGGAGACCTTTTTCACACTTTATTACACCAAGTTTAAGTTCATTTGAATGTACTCTCAGGATTACAAAGATTTATTCTGTGATTAATTCAAGTGTGGAACTATATTACCTCGTAATAAAGATATTAATAAAGACGAAATCTATTATAAATTACATTTTCGACTTCAAATCGAATCAAATTTTGAATAATTTTTTGTCCCATCAAAATCTTTGGAAGCTTTAAAAGTGTTTTTATGCAAAAATGGGACATTATTATTCAAAAATAAAATCATTAATAGCTAGTTTGATCAAGTTCATAAGCTGAGCACATGTTTATATGGGCAAAAAGAGGTCTTTGTAAGTTTACCATATTTTTCCATAAAATTTTCCTACTGAAATTTTACAAATTCGTGCAGAAATCTTTTTTCTCACCCTACCGAGTTTAGGGTTGGAAACATCCATTGTGAAATTATAAGAACTATGGTTAGAATTTTAAAATTTGCCCTTTTTTGTATACATTTATTATGAAGAAAAGAGTCTAATTATAAAATACAAACACCCAAGTGAACGACGCATGATCTAAATTACAAACAAAAATGACAGAATAAATAAATTACGTTTTTGACGTTGAATCGCAACAGATTATAAAATAATTTAATTATAACAACAAATTTTAATCCAATAAACTTTTCATAGTGAATTTTTATTTTGGATTCCTTTTTTTTCTTCTCTTTTTCATGGCAGAATCATTTCCATGAAAAAATGTTTCCAAAAAATAACACAAAATTCGACTATCGGGCCTCGTCAAATGAAACTGTTGAAAATAAATATGTGCATATTTATCTGCCCCCCCCCTAATAATTGAGGAATTAAACGGATCTATTTTATTTTAGGAACCTAAAGAGATCATTACCACTGCGGTAATAAATAAACTATTATCAAACGAATAATTTGAATCCCATACATAATTTTTGCATTACGTATAAAACACGAGATTAAATTAAACAGTTCATGACCATCATGGTAATAACTAAATTGTTACCAAACGAATAATTTTAATCCCACACATACTTATAAAATTATAAAACAAAACAACATATGAAATTCCAGACTCTATTATTTGTAAGCAGATCATTACCACTACGGTAATAACTAAATTATTACCAAAAATGTATAACTAATTTGAATAACATCGCTTTTGCAAGCTACAACGTACAAAATAACGAGCCACAAAAAACAAGAGAGAGTAAAAAGTAGTGAAAGTATTCCATCCCGTGACACATTTCGGATACAATGTCACTCAATTTAGTTCGTTATTGACACGCGATATGGACATATGTATGTCACGCGAGGGTCAGATGAGTGCTTATCCGTGTTCGTGTTATGCCTTAAAAAAGCAAATAATTAACTAGGTTTTCTCACTAATTAGTTAATTAGTGAAGCCAGCAAGAAACGCGTGGGTTACGTAATAATGAAATGCCATGCAACAGAGTGGGTGGACAAATATACCTTTTTGCATATGTAATTTTGAAATTTTAAAATTACAAATTTTTTGCGACATTTTATAACATCTAAAAATTTATCGGGTTTGAAGTTTCTCGTAATTTGATAACTTACTCTACAAACTTGCAACATTTTTAAAGTACTACCACAGCACCTACTTCTAACAAAATCTTGTATGCTTTTGGAAAAATTTAAATTATGGCGAAGAACTTTAACCACAAGTTTTTTGTTTGTTGGTAAAATTTTACCAAGTACCAATTGCAATTAAATCTAACGTTCCACCAATTATAAAAATGCAAGTTACCATTTAATTACTTCCGACATTGAATTTTTCCAATTTTGCTATATTATTGGTAACATATTACCAGGAATTTTTACCGTATTATTTTTTATTGCCGATGGATCAAATTCCGTTACCAATTTAGCTACAAAAAATTAGAATATTTCACTAACATGATGCATTCATGTCTAATTTACGGCTGACAAATTAATGGAGGAACGATTAAGGATACGACATGCAAAATAATTTACGTGTCGAAGCCATGCATAAAGTATGCGATGGATTTAGGACGTACTTACTCCACATGGAGTTTACCACGTGGTCGGGACGACAAAAAAGTGTGACGCTCTTTATGTATGTACATATGACAGCGGAATGAATAAGTAGATCGGACCACGCCCAGGATCCAGTTTGGTCTAATTTGTATATTTTTTTACCTAGTTATTTGCATTTTTGCATCATTTTGCATCATGCGTAGGGAGGAGAAAGAGGAGCAACAGCTTTCTCTACTTTCTCTGAAATAATATTGAGGCAATTCCCACAGTCATTCTTTGGTAACTTTGTAAAATTTGTAAACTTTCAAATTTTTATAAAATTTTACAAGTATTTTTGAGGAAAATTAGCTTACAAATTTTGGTAAACTTACGCAGAACAAGGGCGTCTTTTGATTTTGTAAAGCTTGTAAAATTATTTTTTAAAGTTGCGAATAATTTTACAAAGTTACCAAGGACTGCGTGAATTGCCTCAATAGTAAGATTTTTTAGATCTTTAACGTAAAGTTCGGAATTTTGTGCTTTGAAATTTTGAAATTTTTGATCTCCCAATTTTTGTCGCGAGAAATACGAGTTTCTTAATAATTTTGAGATTTTCTGACCTTTTGTAAATTTTTATTGGGAAATTTCGAATGTTCAAACTTTTGCAACAATGCCAATCCAACTTTTTCAAATATTCTTGGACAAGTCACAGAATTCTGGGGGTTATCGAGGCGGGGAAAATATCACGGGAAAATTTGTGATCGTTGTGACGGATGAATATTCGCATAAAGGTGGGAAAGAAAAGTGTGGAAATTTAGATGCAAAAAATAATCTCAATTTTTTTAAATTTTGGAAAAAAATCTGATTTTTGAAATACTTTGTTTAGGAATTTATTTAAAATTTGAGGGCCACGCAATCATAAAATGGACCGAAGATTCAAGTTGTTTTCGACAACGAGGCGTAAAACCTCAACGGAGAGCGAGAAAGCAATTTTTTCATACGATTTTCAAATATGGTGAGAAAAACAGTTGTTTCATAATCTTTACCGAGAGAAGTTTTCAAATCACAAGTCACAAATTTAAACACTCTTCCACGAATGACACGCGGATTGTAAAAAACTTTAAAAAAGCTTCCTTAGGTGTGGCGCTGCTAAAAGTGAAAAACAAGATTTCTGGCCTTATCTTTTAAATATCTCGTCCCCTCATCATTGTAACAGGAGATGGTGGCTTTGCATCACCGTGAGGCCAGTCATTTTAACCATATAACATATCACGCCGTTTATTACACACTGCAACGATAACAAAAATTGCATTTGCCACTAAAAAATTAGTTAAAGCATTGCTAATGAAAATATATATTGATGCATAAACAGATTATTTGGAAAGGCTTATAAACTTGAGTTTATAAAAACTATTTCGGAGGATGAATATGATTAGATTAGCAAATAATTTATTTCACAAGCTAACCAGTACTTCAGGCAGCCAACATAATTTATAGATAGCCCGTAACGAAATTTAATTGGCTTGAACAATTTTCTGCATGTGTTATACAAACTACTTCAACCACCTTTGCTGAATTTAAAAAATGCTCCGTTCGAAAATTTAAGGGTAGGATTTTCTTAAATAATTTAGAAACAATTGACCAAGCCAGCGGCGGTAGTACGCTTAAGGCTAATTGTATTTACTAGCACAACTAGTTCCCAATACGAACGAGAAAGTAACAAATGATAATTTTGAGAAATTCGTGAAGCTAGACTTTGTTCCAGCGAGTTGCGAATTATTATGCGAATAAATTCTTTATTGCCAGAAGCTTAGCGTAAAATGACTGGCCTCACGGTGATGCAAAGCCACTAGAGGTGAGCCGGGCCTGGACTTTTCAAAGCCCGGCCCGCCCAAGCCCGGTTCAAAAGCCCATCTCAAAAGCCCGGGCCCGCCCAGGCCCGGAAAAATGAAGCCTAAGCCCGACCAAGCCCATTGGGCTTTTTATTAAAAAAGCCCGCCCAGGCCCAGGCCCACCGGGCTAAGCCCACTGGGCTTTTTGTAAGGCTAGGTTTAAATAATGATTATCAAAAATACCCATCATTCAAGATAGTTATTGAACGGCACCCTAAAATTTATAAAATATAATTATTTAATAAGATGTACATAAATAAAAATTCAACCTCCTGAATTAAAACTGGAATTTTTAATTGATTACAGTACAATTACTTTGTCAAGCTGTGTAGTATCTGGGACTAATTTCAAGTTCCCTAAGTGTAAGATATGTTGAATACAGTGTTGCTTAATTACTTGAGTTTGTAATTAATTACTAATTACTTAATTACATTTGACGAAAGAAAGTAATGAATTACTCAATTACCAATTACATCAGTCAAGTAATTAATTACAATTACAATTACTTCTGTGAAAAGTAATTAATTACTTAATTACAAATTAATTACATTTTTATATAATGATATGGCAAAATCTTAAAGGTATGTTATAGTCACGCAGGTATTAATTTCCCGGTATCAAAGTTGCTACCGCTTGGTCTTAAAATTATACCAGTCGACTGGTAACTTTTTACCGATCCGAAAAAATGTGTTACCTATATAGTAAAACTTTAATACCTAGCTAAATATTATTACACTGCATTACTAACCACTACCACTTTGGAAGAGTCACATATGAATACCGCTTGGTAATATTTTAATACTATATTTCTAAGAGCAGACATATACTAAAGAACTGCAATTAACCTCTTAAGATTAATCTAATCCTAGTACATATATTCCAACAAATCAAATTAAAAGAAAATGAATAATTGATACCGGGAGAGTAATTAACCAAAAATTAATCTTCACGATCGACTAAAAATGATCTTGCAAATCACGATTTTGCTAATATGCATTCTAGTTCGAAGCAATCAAGTAATTAATTACTCAAAGTAATTAATTACTTTGTTACTCAATTGAAGCCAAGTAATTAATTACTAATTACAATTACATTGCGCAAAGTAATTAAACTCTAATTACTAATTACTTTTTCGATTTTTCTTGTAATTAATTACGTAATTAATTACTTTTGTAATTAATTACTACAACACTGGTTGAATATGTGCCAAGAAGTGATTGCTCTGATTTTACCATGAGCAATAAGGATGACATATACGTATGTATGTGTATATAAATATACACAATGTAGTGATAACAGAAAGGAACAAGTAAATCTGGTGTGTAAGAAGATAACTGGTGGGGTGAAAAACACCAAGAACTTCATGCAGTTGTACCGCTGTACTGCAATTTTGAATATAATCTCATTCACCCCCAAAAAATATGAGACTGGGTTGTTTTGATTCGGGCTTGGGCTTTTCCTAAAAAGCCCAAGCCCGGCTGGGCAAAAGCCCGCCCAGGCCCGGCCCAATTAAATTTGGTTCCTCAAAAGCCCAGGCCCGCCCAAGCCCGGTTGCTGACAGGCCCACCCGCCCAAAGCCCAATGGGCCTGGGCGAGCCCACTTAAAGCCCAGGCCCGGCTCACTTCTAAAAGCCACCATCTCCTGTTACAATGATGAGGGGACGAGATATTTAAAAGATAAGGCCAGAAATCTTGTTTTTCACTTTTAGCAGCGCCACACCTAAGGAAGCTTTTTTAAAGTTATTTTATTTCGTGGATTTTAGGTGATTTTTTCAAATTTCGCGACCAGGGTTATTACCGGTTTGGTAACAAAATGTCTACCACTGAATAATAAATTAATTACCATGCGGTAGAGTCACATAGATACACCGCCTGGTAATAACTTAGTTACCGTGTTTCTTAGAGTGTAGTAATAAAACGGACAGTAAATTTGACAAAGTAATCTAATGATTAAATTTAAAATTTTCAATAGAATTTACAATTATCCCTAGTCCGGATTAATAATCACCAATCCGATATTTCCTAACTCTGACCAGCAAGTGCGTGTCTAAATGTTTTATACCCGAAATTTATTAAAGACAACTACTATTATTTTTAGTAAATTGCTATATTGGCTGCTAATAGCAACCAGCTATACTGCAATTTGGATGAAGAATGCTTAGCAACATGAACAGTTTCAGATGCCTCCATCAAAACTCTTTCAGTTTTGAACCGATCTCAATCGGATTTGTTTTAAATGATGCATAACCGATTTTTACACAATAAAATCAGGTTTTATGCATATATTCCTTTGACACAAATGTCTCAAATTTTGATTGTAAAGTTTCAAATTGAAATTTGGGGGCTCAAAATGCAACTTTTCCGTCGTGAAAGCTGTAAAACCGCATCTCCTCATTCTCCTCTGCACGATTGCTCTTTACACCATTTGCGTAGGATTAACCGTTTAGGCTCTAGCCTTGTCGACAGTTTCAAAGGGTGTATACGAATGCATACTTAGGCTTCGCCGTAACCATGGTGACGCTTTTTTTTGCGGGCACCAATTGTTACTTTTGCCTCACCTAAGAAAAATGGCTAACTAATTATTTCGTAATTCCGATTAATCTCATAAAATTTAGTGAAATGCAGTTTATTTTTCTAATTTTGAGCTATACGGCAGAACAAATTTTGTGAGATTTAAGCGACGAATCTATAATTTCTGGAAAATCCTGTTATTAATCTTAGGAAAATTTTTGCTGGAATACCATGGGATTTTTTTTTCACAAATTTACCCAGCAACTGGTCATGTGTTTGGGCGTACTCACGACAACGTCTTATTTCGTATCCCAACTTGTTTAGCAAAACTTGCGTTGATCAAAATTTTTGTCGTGAGAAAATACGACTTCGCAATTTCGCCAATCTACTAAAAACACCGATTTTGATCTTGTTTCCATGGATTTCTGTGATTTCTCTTGCTGATAATGGTAAAGAAAGGATGAGTTTGCAAAATAATAACAAGAACATGCCCTATATCTGGGTAAATTTGCGAAATAGAATAGCATGGTTTTCCGGCAAAAACTTTGGAAATTATGCTGCCATGCTCAATTTTCGACGTATGCCAAGGTTGACGTGGGTAACCTCTGTATTTCGAAAACTTGTCCTGACTAGCAAGATAAAGTACTTAAATCCATTGAAATCTCATTAAAATCAAAATCTATCAAAAAATTTTAAATGCTTTTATAAATAGACTTGAAATGCGAGATTCGTATTTTGCGAACCCCCTCACGACATACATATTTTGAGCTTCATAAAAATTTGCTAAGTGAATTGAGAAACTAAATAAGGTGTTGTCATACGTAAGCCTATTTAGGGAACATCCATATATTACGGACTCAAAAGGATGTGTGGGTGTTTTTGAGGTGCCTATCTTACTCACATTAAGCTTAACATGGGTAAGATAGGGAAGGGATACAGGTCTAAAATTCGGTGTTCTTTTTATTACGTAATGTACGGACGTTCCCTTTACTGATATTTAATTATTCCTAAAACAATAATCAATTTGTTCTTCCAGCCTCTGAAGAAACGTTACGCGAAGGCACGCACATTTTCCCCTTTGAGTATCAACTTCCCCCAAATTTACCGTCATCCTTGGCCACGCCCACTATCACGATTTGGTACAAGATGGAAGCACTAATCCATAAGGAGCCGAAACCACGGCGGGAAATTCTACTCTTCCCGGTGCGAGGTGATCTCGACTTAAACGAGGTCACGGAAGATGACCTTACCGTGTCGAGGTCAGAGGTCAGGTCACGTAGTTTATTGACCTTTTACTTGCCATGCCTCTGCTCGCTGAATTATGCCTCGATCGGGTTGTGCTTATCGAAGCGGGGATTCGTTCCGGGGGAGAAAGTAGAACTCAGGTTGGCCGTCTTGACCGATACCTGTTTCACTTTTGTGGTATTGATGCTCATGCAGGTGAGTGATGCGTATTTTTGGTTGTGATTTTTTTTGGCCGGTAAAAAAAATCGGTTCGGTAAAAAATGTATTCCGGTAACGTTACCAGAATACAATTATTTTTACTGTTTCGGACAAAGTTTAATTTCGTACAGAACTATTTAATTATTGGGCGGGTGAGTAGAGTTATGCATTCCGGTTATGAAATTTGGATTCCGGTAATATTACGACCGGCAATTGTCTGTGTATGAAATTCAGATTTTTATAATCCAACAGCGAAATTTATCTCTAATCAATTTTATTTTTATACCAACACGTCTTGGTAACAATTTACCAGGATTTGCATAAATCATATACTGAAATTACTGAATTACTGAATACCATTTCAATATGAAATTTAGAACCAATTGCTTCGATTTCAACGCATTACTAATAATTTTGTCACTTGAAATTAGTTGCTATTTTGCTAACGCGACGAATTAAATTATGCAAATTCGTACATTTTAGCAATTTATGATGTATGATTGTATGATTTTGAAGTCGCATTGCAAATAATCAACTTGCTGAAATAATAATTTGATGTAACAGGTTCGTAATGTAGGAATTTAATTCACAAACAATTTTTAGCAAGAATCATGAGTTAAAAATGATAAAATTAGCGAATTAATTTTTGAAGAAATTTATCAAAAAATGTAAAATGAATTATCAATTTCTTTAAAATACCACCAAAAATTTCTTTACATTAAAGTAGATATAGATTTACAATTATCTGAAAACTTTTGAAATTGATGTCATTTTAGAAATTTTGCATGTAAAGAGATACAATTTTTTAATTTCGAATTTTGTTCAAAGTTTCCGATAAAATTTTCGACCAAAATAAAATTCTTCGCGGAAATTCTTGCCAGTTTCTTTTTCTCTATTATTAACGAAGAGTGAAATATTTGCACTGAATAAAATTTTCCTCATTTTTTTAAACAATGCACTAAATTAAAATTTGTAGACTTTTGCCGTCATACTTTTAATTTTATATGTTTTAACTTTTGCTAAATTTGCCTCAGATTCTAATAAATCATAGCAGAAGTTAAAATTTAAGTAATAAAAAAAATAAAAAAATACTCGATACATCGAAATTTCAGAAATATTAATCATCTAGTATACCTGAAAAAAGAAGCATACAATATCAAAATATAAACAAAAAAAGGCATTAATATTAACAATTGTGACAAAAAAGATTACACATTTTTTAAGAAATTTTGAAATTTGATAAGTTACAAATTTCAATAATTTATTTCTTGCAGGTTTGCTCCATGTCTTACATTGTAAAGCAATAAATACAAGAAATACGAGGTGCAAAAAACTGCGAGAAAGTGCAAAAAAATCTGCGCCATCTAGCCACGCGCAGTATGAACTAAATCGGCGGGAAGTTTGTAGGTAGTTTCACGCACCTTGCATTTCTTGCAGGTCCAAATACCTGTCAAAAAACCACTATCTTGCCGTTATTTCTTGCAAGTGGCTAGTTACTTTCACTGCGTGGGAAATGTTGAGTTTTTCGTCACGATATGATGTTCGAGGGTTTTTGGGTTTTGAAATTTCGGCCTGGAATAAATTTGAATTTCGAATTAGTAATATTTCGAAATCTTTCGAATCTTTAAAATGAACACAAGTTTACAAATTTGAATTTTTCTTAATGATCAAGACCATAAATTTTCAAATTTCTATTAAAACGCGTTACTTGCACCGGTAATTTTTACCAATAATTTGATTTTTACCGGAAGGAAATAACCGTCGTGACCAAAGAGAAGACGATGATTGAGCGGAGAACCGTGGTCAAACTCGCACTCGACGACTTAGCTCCGGACGAGGATAATCCCGACGATTATAAGCGATGGGTGGAAGAGATCGAAATTCCGGAAGAGAGCGTCGTCTCCTCAAACGCCAAGGAATATGGCGACATTAAAATCAATTATTTCATTCAGGTAGGAAAAATACACGGCACGTGGTGAAAATAGAAAAAAAATTGGCGAGTTAATTTTGATACTCATTTTTAGCCATTTTTTGCGAAATAAAATTATTCTAGTTTTCTAGGCAAATTTTTTGGAGCATAAATCTTGAGCTTTTACAACAATAACTTTTCATAAAATGGTAAAAATTTGAAAAATAGCATTTTCTGCACTTATTTCATTCAGGTAGGAAAAATATACGGCGTGTGGTCAAAGTAAAAAAAAGTTGACGTACTTCATTTCTTAATCAACTTTTTGCAAAATAAAAGTATTCTAATTTTCTGGGGTAAATTTTTGGGGACATAAATCTTAAACTTTCACAACAAAAGTTTTTTTGAAATGGCACAAATTTCGGAAAAATTAGACTTTCGTGTACCCAGAACAACGCCTTATTTCGTACCGTAACTCATCTTTTGCCAAATGATAACGAATTAGCAAAATGTTTCATTAAAAATTTAGCTATTTCTTACATACGAAAAATTCTTAATTCTGAATCTGGAATCTGAATTTACATATATCCTGAAATTTGAATTTCTTAAAAAACAATTTATGGGGTTGAAACTTGAAAAATACAATTTTGCAAATATTTTAAGTGCGAAATAATTCTGCGGGATAAAAATATGCTTGAAGCCAAATTTACGAACAGAAATATCAAAAAAAGTTTTGTGAAATGCTGCAAAATTCACGAAATTTGTCAAGTTGTCTGCTTAATTTGTGAATTTGTGAATTAGCCGATTATTCGAAACTAATTTTTACACTTTTTCCTCCCTAGTTTTCCGCCGAGGCGATAAAGTTTCCCTACCAATTGATAAAAATTGTCGTTCCGATAACCCTCGGGAGTGTCGAATTAATCAAAAAAATCGATGACGACGAAGACACCGAGGTCAACAAGGGTCAAACCAGTGACGATTCCAACCCTGGCTCTGGGAGTGACGAAATTGATAAAATTGAAACAACTGAAAGCGTCGAAATTGTAGAGAAGGTGGAACCTGACGATCCAATTATTTCAACAATACCGCCAATTTTAAACCAACCTGCTCCACCCCCGAAAATTATTATCGTCCAACTCGAACCGGAACCTGGAGAAAGTCAAAATAATCCCGTGCAAGATGTCAGTTTTCTAAATTCTTTGGAAAGTTCGATGATCCACGTGGTCCCGAAGAAATCTCCGCTTCCGCAGAAAAGCACGCTTCGTCGCTTATCTGCGACAGACTCGACCGGAAGTGGGAGTGGAAGTCCGGTAAAAAAGCTGGTTTTTCAGGAGGTTTCCCCCACGAAGTTTAAAAGTCCGGGGTCCCCAAGTGGGAGGAAAGTTGTACCGGAAGTGGGAACCTGCTCGGTAAATGCTTTTACCAGAGGGACAACGTCCGTTTAAATAATTTTGATCGACCTGTGTCACATTTTTTGGATTAATTAAGCAATTTTATCATTTTTGATCTAAAATCTCCCAACTTTGTTTTAAAATATGTGAATTTTAATAATATAATTTGTCAGGTTAGCAAAATTGGAAATAAAAATTTAGAAAATTTAAATGAAAATTTGAGAAAGTGTGAGAAATTGGGGGAAAGTTGTACCGGAAGTGGGAACCGATTCAGTAAATGCTTTCACCAAAGGGACAACGTCCGTTTAAATAATTGCATTTAACCTCAACCATATCTTCTCAGTTAGTTATGGATTTCAGCAATTTTATTATTTTTAATGCGACTCCAAAATCACGCAGTTTGTTTAAATTTTTAAAACGTGGAAATTTGAATAATTTAATTTGTCAGTTAGCAAAATTGAAAATAAAGATTTCGAAAAATACGCAACTATTCAAAATGTTTGAATTTGAGTAGTTTAATTTATCAGGTTTGCAAAGTTGGAAATACAAATTTGAAAGATTTGAAAAAGTGTGGAAATTTTGGAAAGTTGTGCCGGAATGGGGAAATGTTCTGGAAATGCTTTCACGACTGGGGCGACGTCATTTTAAATAATTCTCCAGCAAACATCGAGACCATTCTAGATCTTTTTCATATCTTTCAGTAGCTTAATTATTTTCAATGCGACTCCAAAATCGCGCAAATAATCAAAATGTATAAACTTGAATAAATAACTTAAGTTGTAAGGTTAACAGCATTGGAAATAAAAATTTAGAAAATAAAAATTTTATTAATTTTAATTCAACTCTCTGAATTTGAATAATTCAAGTTGTAAGGTTTGAAGAATGAAAATTTGAAAAGAAACAATTTTAGTATTTTTGATTCGACACCAAAATCACGCAATTTTGTTTAAACTTCTAAAATAATGTGATTGATTTATTTATTTACAATTAAGCACCGAATCTCTGGAATTTTACGCCTCAAGGTTAAACCAAGTTATTGCAATAGATTAAAAAAAATTATAATTTGTCAATTATAATTTATAAAAGTATAATCAGATTTATAATCGTTTATAACGAGCTTACTCACGACGACGTCTTATTTCGCATCGCAACTCATTTAGAAATATTTATAATTTTTTTAAATGTTTGCAAGTTTGCGGAATTTATGAATTTTACAAAGTTACCCATTCACACAGTAATTTATAAATTTGAAAAAGTGTAAGTTTTGTAAAATAATTTTGCAAACTTTTATAAAATAAAGAAACGCTTCTTGATCTGAGTAAATTTACAAAAATTTGTAAGGCAATTTTTCTTGTAAATATTTGTAAAATTTTGTAAAAGTTTGTGAGTTTAGAGATTTTATATATTTTATAACGTTACCAAGGCCTGCGTGAATGCCTAACTGTACTTAAAAATCAACATTCACAGCAATGATCTACACACTTGTATTTACTGTTCGTGGAAATTTCTTGTTAATATTGTCGGAATGAAAGTATCGCAAAGTTTGTAAAAACAGGTCCAAAATTTTCGAAAAACACATCCATCACGTTACAATTATAATTATCCCAGACGACTAACTAAACGTTTGAATTAAATTTTGAAAGCATCGCAAAGTTTGAAAGTTGTAAAAACAAACTTTACAAAAATTTATAGGAAAAACACGTACATCGTGTTAGGATTTTAATCATGTCGACAGACTATCTAAAAATTTGTACCATATAATAGATAATTTTCTGCCAATTTTATTTATCGGTATGAAGCCCTGTCAAATTTAACTTTTCGTCAAAAACAACTCTGAAAATGTATAGGACGCACGACTCGATGACTCGTTATTATGGGGATATTTCGTACAAGATGTTCTTCATTTTAGGTACTGCTAACGACGAATACAAATAAATAATAAATTTTTATTAATTTTATTGCCGCAAGTAAAATTTGCAAAAAGTTTAAATACAATAAACATTTGCAGATTAATTTGTATGATTTCGTAACTACAAATAAAATTGCTTATTCAACATTTTCACATGTGATTTTAAAAATCTAGATGGTAATTGATGACCCTACTGATGATATCTAAATTCTCTATTGTACGTGTCTTGATCTGAAAAGCAGATTTCTTTCTGATGATTTGCGACATTTTAATAAACTTCAGTGATCAGTAATCAGTAATAATAATCTAAGCTGCTATTTTAACTAATTGTTCGAAATTTGTTAACCAAATTAATTCCGGAGCTGCGATTGAATATTTTGTAAATCTAAATTGACTATCTAAAAAATCGTATAAAATTATCCATTTTACAAGAAATTTACCAATTTTATTAAATATTTTTCAAATGATAAGTGTACCGAAAATTGAACATAGCTAACCAACTAAATTAGCACTTAAGGATTCTATTCACGATTCAAGAGGATTCTTGAGGCAATTTTGGTGACCCAGTAAAAACCATAGATCTTTTAGGATTTACTGATTTCGATTTTTTTTTAATTTTGACATCAGGTTTTATCATTTATCTTCGAATTTGAAAAATCTCTAGAAAACTCGACTCGGAAAAGCAATCCTTATGACCTAAATGTATTACAAGCTCAATGCAAAATTCGTAAACGTATTAAATCCGTCGTTAAAGTTGAACTAAATTATTTTAAACAACAGATTAATTAACAACTTAAAATTATAACAAAACGCAAAAACAACAAATAAATATTAGACAAACAAATAAATACTAAACAAGTAAATATCATGAAATTCTGCATTTTTCAAGAAAACGATCAGTTTTATAAAATAAGGATCTGGTAAAGTGAAAAATTCATAATTGAATTAAAAAATGATAATTTGATCTGGAAGAAGCCTGGTATTGTATGATCTGGTATTTTATTTCGATCTAAAATTTATAAATTTATGAATCCCGTCGTCAAGACTGAACAAAGATGCAATTCACTTCAGGCTTCATAAATTCAATAATAAACTTAAATTATAGGAATTTCATTTTTTTAATGTACAAAATTATATATTTTCCTGAAAAATGGAAAAACCTAGAACACATTTCCAATGACTTTGATGTATTAATAGGGTTTGTATGATAACCTGGCAGACCTATGATTCTTAACTATATAGTCGAACTTGATTTATTGAGTTCAAACTTTCTCAAATTTTGAAATAATATCGCAAAAATCGCAAAAATTTTGATAAAGTTTCACATTGAGCATACTCACGTCAATATATCGCATATCTCGCAAATTGAGCATAGCTCACATAACTTGCGATTTTTTGCGAGATATGAGAGATTTCGCAAAAATTTTGCTGCAAAACCATGGGATTTTTTTTGCAAATTTATCCAGTAATTCAGCATGTTCTTGTTTCGCAAGATTATTTCGCAAACTCATCCTCACCATGGTCAGGAAGAGAAATTAAACAAATCGATGGAAACAATAGCAAAATAGGGGGTTTTCAGTAGATTTGTGAGATTAGAGAGATTTGCGAAGTCATATTTTGCGAATCCCCTCACTACACAAATATCTTGATTTTAGCAAATTTGGTAAATGAATTGCGGTGCGAAATAAGACGTTGTTTTGAGTACTATTCATTTCAGACTCTCCATCCACCCAAAAGAGCTTTGGATCAAGCAAGTCCGACGTCGAAAAAAGGCGTCCAAGCACGACGTCCAAGAATTATGTTAGCCGAGTCAGCCGAATTAAACTGGTGTTAAATAATAGGATAATTCGGCTGACTCGGCTAACATAATTCTTGGACGTCGTGCTTGGACGCCTTTTTTCGACGTCGGACTTGCTTGATCCAAAGCTCTTTTGGGTGGATGGAAAGTCTAAAAGGAATAGTACGCCCAATAAAAATATTTATACTACAAAAATTAGTCCATCGATAGACCTTGGACCAACTTATTGAGATCATCTGTGACCTAAACCCGAAAAGGAATGAAGATAGGGTACTTATCTTTTCAAGAGATATAGTATTTAAACAATTCTATTATTTTTAATTCTACGCCAAAATCACGCAATTTTGTGTAAACGTTTTTAATGTGTGAATTTGAATAATTGAATTCAAGGTTAACAAAATTGCAAATAACAATTTTGAAAATTACACCGACAATTTGATAAAGTGAGAGAAATTTGGAGAAAATATTGACAAAATCAATTTCGTAGATGAAATGTAACATTTCTATATAGCAATTTTAATATTTTTACTCTGACTTCAAAATGCCACAATTTTTCAAAATCAGCAATCTGATTGCAACATAACATTTGTTAAGTTAAAATTTTAATATATTTATTATGACTTCAAAATCATGCGAATAATGAATTACGACCAAGTATAGAACTTTTAAAAATACGTTTATGATTTATTAAGCCGACGAATTAATTCAAATTTACTGTAATCATAATTATATGACAATTATTTATGTGAACAATCAATTTCTTCAAGTATGAGGTAGACATTTAATTGTAAAAGTACGGATATTGATTTTTAAACCTTGCTAAGTTTTGTTCGTAATTTTAAATTACAAATAAAATTTGTTCACTAAATACTTAAGTTACTGTCTTTATTATATATGAACTTATTTAAATACATACATTTACAATTGTCTTTTAGCCCAAAAAAACTTTAATGTCTTATTGCCAAAATTATTACCAAGCTATGGTAACACGATAATCTGTCGCACTGGTAATAATTTATTACTAACATAATTTCTCACAAAGTTCAGGTTTCTTTTATAAAAATTGATTATTGTGTGGTTAAAAAAACAAAAATTCTAGAAAAAAAATTATCCTTGCCTTTCTGCGGTTATCAACCTATTTTTACCACCGGTAACAATTTACCAAATAAAAAATGGATAAACTTTTTTTCCAAACAGTTACTTTACAAATTCCTAATAATAACGTGCCTTCGAAATAGAAGCTATAATATAAAATACTGTAATTTTTACCACTTGGTGAATAAATCGTTACCAATTTATTTTTACCGAAACAAGTTTTCCAAACTGTTATTTTACAAATTCATTGTGACTTCTAAATACGTGGAAGGTTCAAATAAAAATACTGTTCAAAAAACGCAATTTTTACAGGTCGGTAAATAAATCGTTACCAATTTTACCATGCTACCATATCGGGTTTATTGCAGTACTGGTAACGACGAAAACTTTATCACAACAGATTGTAATTTTGCCCCGAATAATATAAATACTGTCAAAAAACCTAATTTTACTGTTCAGTAAATATGTAAATCTTTACCAAATTTTTTATCACTACCAATTTATTTTTACCGAAATATACATAAAAATTTTTAAGTATACATCCATTTCTATACTTCGACGAAGACTTTATCACAACAGATGGTAATTTTACCCCGCATAATAAAAAATATTGTTCAAAAAACCTAATTTTACCGTTCGGTAAATATGTAAATGATTACCAGTTTTACCACGCTACCAACTTATTTTTACCGAAATATACATAAATTTTTTAAGTATACGCATCCATTTCTGCTGACGACGAAACCTGTATCACAGTAAAGCTGGTAATTTTCCCCCGCATAATAAAAAGTACTATTCCAAAAACCCAACTTTACCGTTCGGTAAATATATAAATCGTTACCAATTTTTTTTACTACTACCAATTTATTTTACCGAAATACTTCCGTATTTTTTAAGTATAGGCATCCATTTCTGTATTGCTAACAACGAAAACTTTATCACAACAGATGGTAATTTTGCCCCGAATTTTCTTCCACCTTCTCTTCAGACATTTCCAATTTGCTTGCACGTGTTCATAAATGAATGCCACGGTGCAGATGGCGAGCAGCGTGAAAAGTATGTAAAACGAGCCGGAAATGTGTTTCAGGGTGAGATTGTCGTCGCCCACGCCGGCGCTGGAAATGGACGCTTTTTCGCTCTGATTGGTAGCAAACCACCATTCGCGCTTCAACACGCGGACCGTGTAATACATGTCGCGCGCTTCCCAGACATCCTCCAAGTGAAAGGCACGCGTATGTGAGAGCCATTTTCCAAAATTATTCCTGCAAAAGAAATACATATTTTTGAGCGAGTGGATTTTGTAATTTGGTGGAGAAAGTTAAAGTTTCTGTAACGGTGGGTCTTAAACTATTGAAATTTTGAGAAGAGATTTAAATTTGGAACTTATTTTTTAATATTTCTTAAAAAGGATTAAGAAGCCCGCATTGAGACTAGATATGCAGATCTCCCCCCAAGCTAATTAAGCAACGGGAAATTTTTATTTTTTTTAAATTGCGAGGAACACATCTACAAATTTTGACTTTTAAGTAAGTTAAAAACCATAATTTCAAGTTTAATTCCTTTTCCAGCCACAATTTATAACACTAATTATGATTTGACCCACCTCAAAATGGACTTCCCCTCTGTGGCCAGTCCCAAATAGATGTTGTACGTATGCGCCGGCGCAAAGACTAGTTTTCTCGTGTCCGCTTCACTTAGGTTCCTATCTTTTAAATGGCGGAGCGCGAAATCGTACGCGATGCAGCCATACCTATTCAAAATTAATTTTTTAAATTCAGTCATCAAATTTCAGACTGAAGATTTTCATCCACACTCATTCATTTCACTTCATCGGACTTCATTTCTTACTTCATCGCATATATCAAGCATATTGTGAAAAATGGAAGGAATCCTTTCATTCACAGTCATTCATCTGAACTGACGGAATCTTTCATTCATTTTCATTCAAATTACAAGAAATTAATTTTCATTCAAATGAAAGGAAATTCATTTTCATTCAAATGACAGGAAATTCATTTTCATTCAAATGAAAGCAGATTCATTTTCATTCAAATGACAGGAAATTAATTTTAACTTCACTTTTAATTTTTTATTAACTATCATAATCAGTCAAATGAATGAAAGTGAACAGCTATGGATAAAGCCTTACTTTTGGGTCACGACTTTCTCCAAGCATTCCAACCCGTATCCTGTCACGACCTCCATTTCATTGATTAATTTAACATAAACAGGATCCGTGGAATCGGCCAGCGTGTTGTACGCGGAGTCGCCATGCTTCATAAATCCCACGGAATATTTTGAATACGCGAGATCATCAAAAGTCTGCGGGAGCGTTTCAATTAGCGGAAATGCGAGGAGGGAAACCAATTTTGACCGGTAGATGGTAGTCACGACCAGCGTGAAAAATAACCAGATGGCGACAAATGTCCGTAGAGGGGCGAAAGTTGGGAGAACGCAGTCCTGATCGAGAAATGAGGTGAGGACGAATTGAATCTGAGAAAAATAATGGATTTTGGATTATTTTTGAGAATTGTAAATTTTTGTAAAAATTGTTTTTTCATAATTTGAAAAATTTTGATTCATTGAAAGTAAAATTTGCAAAAAAACAAAATAAAATTCAGTTAAAACATTAGATCAAGTTTTTACTTTGGAGAATAAATAAACAAAATTTTGTACAGTTTTAGATATACTAAATACATTTAAAAAAATAATAGCAGAATTGTACCTGCTACATATTTCAAATTTCTAGATGGTAAATGAGATCTAGTTTTATATAGTTGCACACCAATAAATAAAATTTGCACGAAATTAGCATATTTCATGGAAATATTTAGATTGGCTAACCTGACTGTTGCAATTTAAACATTATATGAATGGGTTTTTTATATTTTGGCAATCTTGTTTTTAAATAACTTTCAAAATGATAGTTTGACCCCAAAAAAATTTACAAGAAATTTGCACTCGCAAAATAAATGTGTCGATTAATGAAGAAATCATTAAAAAATAACTGCGATTGTTTTTGCAACTAGTTCTGCGCGTAATTATGATTACTTATTTCTACATGATTATGATCATGAGTTTCAGAAATATGTAATTCCCAAAATTATTTGAACACTGGAAAAATCATTGAAAATTACAATTGTGAATAAATCACTTAAAAAATGTTATACGATCTGATAATTCTACCTTAAATTGTAAATTATTTTTAAAAAACATGTCTCCCACCTGATATTTGAAATTCCAAATTTGATGCGAAACCATTCCTCTCCTGGCGAAATTGAGGGAATCTCCGGATCCTAAATCCAGCCAGAAGATGGCTTTGATAATAATGGTAAAAAATATGAAGGCGACAATCGTGGAGACGAAGATGCAGCCCCACATGAGCAGATCGAACGGCCAGAGGAGCGCGGCCGGCGAGAAAATCCGCACCCCCTCCGAGGTCACATAAGTGAGAAATCCAAAGTCAAAAAAGGCCTCGGTAAAGTCCACGTAGTGAACTAGAAAAAAAACATGAAATTTTTGATTTAGAGGAAATCAGAGTTAGATTTTTGAAATTTTTTGTGATTTTTGTTGATGGAATAATTTCTTGGTTTTCATTTTTGAAGATATTTAGGCAATTCACGTAGTCCTTGGTAGCTTTGTAAAATTGATAAGTTTTGTAAAGAAATTTGAAACTTGTATAAAATTACGGATCACGAATTACGGAAATCACGGAAATTACGAATTATCTATAAAAGACGGATCTGAGTAACGTGCAAAAATTTTGAAGCTAATTTTCCTTAGAAAAAATGTATGAAAAAAATTTAAATTTCTATTAATTCTTTGTTAAAGGTCTGTTGTAGGTTTATGGATTTTAAAATTACTGCGTGAATTGCCTCATTTATTTTGAGTAAATTTTTATGGAAATTCCAGTAGAGAAAGTGGTTCAATTTTTAAATTGTATATTTTTTAAGTTTCAAATTTGTTGTTAAAGTTTGCAAGTTTACGGAGTCTAAAATGTTACTGCGTGAATTGTCTCATTTATTTTTAGTAAATTTTTGAATTTTTAAGGAAATCCCATTAGAGGAAGTGGTTAAATTTTTGAAATTGCATATTTTTTAGGTTTCAAAATGCATCTTTGCAACAAGACTTGTTTACAATTTGTAATATTTACATAACTCGAAGTTTTTGGTGCTTACTTCTTTTCGGCGTGTTCGCCGTGACGATGCCGATGTCTGCTTTTCCCGAGATTAAATCTCCCGTTACCCCGATCCACGTCCCATTAGCGAGTTGGACACCGGTCCCGCCACCGCCAAAATTCCCATCGGTTCCGGTGGATACGAAAATATTATAAGTGAAGTTGAATTTGAGCTGAAATTTATGTTGTAAAGAAATTTGCAATTAAATTTTCCACACTTTGTGTATAAATTGTTACCACCATTTTTTGAACTTTTTGATAATTCAAGTTTCATACGGTTAAATTCAAATTCGAGATGTTAGACTCCAGTTTTCATGGATTGTTTTTATCCGAAATAAGTACACATTTTTATCGAATATGGGAATATTTTCATAATAAATCATGCCGAAAATTAATTAAAATTATGTTTTTAATTTTTTAATTTTGTGAAAATTATGCGAGAAATTTAAGTTTCAAGTGTATAAAATTAAAATCAAGGTAAAATTAGATTATGGGTTTTCTTTATAAAATAAATACGAATTTTTTGTCGAATAGTGGCCAAAATTTAAACTATTTGCATGGAAATATTTCGGAAAGTTTTCGGAAATTTATCACAATTTAAACCTTACGTTTAGATATTCTTCGAATAAAATTTTCCAAATTCCCCGCCTCGCATTAGCCAAGCCTTTATAGGGTGGATCGGCTTCAACTCTGGCGCGAATATAGGGGCACGAAACGTACAGCGTGCGTCCATTCAGGTTGATGACAAAGTCGGGAAAGTAGTCGAAATCGGGGGAAAATTCCGAAGGATATTCGACAATTTGTGGAAATCCGGAATTGCAGAAGAAGCAGACGGATTTTAAAGTAACGGGGGAGCTATTTCTGAAATTTGTAGAAAATTATTGAAATTAGTTCATAATCTTAACGAACAATTTTAAACTTTACAAGAATTACTTGGTCCTTGGTAACTTTGTTAAGTTCGTAAGATAATTTTAGGTAGAAATTTTCTGTAAATTTTTGCAAATGTTTGTAAGTTTATCGAATTTACGGATTTTATAAGGTTACCAAGGCCTGTGTGAATTGCTGTCAATTTCGCAACTTGATAAATAAATCTTAGAATTTTATAAATCATTGTCCTTCCAAAGGTTTAAAATTGTACAGTTTAAATCTTTTTTAGGAAATTTCAAACTATTTTGGAAAATTGAATATTTTTATTTGGAATATTTGGAGAAAATTGTCGAATCCTCTTTTATTAAAACTGTGTGTTGTTTGCCATTTTATCATGCGCATATCTAAATTTGATTTTGTTTTCGAAAATCAAATTTGATTCAAATTGATATTTTATACTCGATGTAAAGTTAATTTTTGTACTATGAAACTATGAAACTATCGATTTGATAAAAAAATTGCGAATTTAGTTTGGACAAAATTTGGAAATATTGTGAAAAAATGGCAAATTTAGCAAATATTATTTTAAATCGATAGATATAAAAAGTTACATTTATATTAAGACTCGTAAAATTGATACAAATTTAGAAGCTTGGGTTCAGTATGATTTCTAATCAGTGTATCTGTATGAAAATTTATCCATCATTTCAAACAAATTTATTTTTAATAATTTTATGAAATTTTATAAAATCCGAAAATTTTTAAAAATTATTGCATTTCAGCGTCGATTAAGATCAATAATATATGTTTTAAGTGTGTATTTTGATTAAGATCTGTATGGACCCCGGTATTTTGTGGGTTTGTGATTAATAAACTTGATAACAATTGCTTAAAGTTGGAAATTAATGAAAGATTCTGAACGACTAATTTCCTCAAAATCGAATCCCCTACTTATTTCTTAATAAATCCATACTTTTGTATGTAGTACAAAAAACTAACTTTACATAAACGTATGAAAAAATGCAGAATTTAATATTTGGCTCAGTTTTTCTCAAGTACTCCGATGGATAGCGCATCAAAATCTCCGATCGCACTCAAACTTTTTATACTAATTCTTTCTGGGATGAAAAATATTACCCTAAACCCATTTTTCGAAATTTCAATTTTTGGCGAAATTATGGCAAATTTTCAATTTCGTTTTTTTGATTTTTTCTCTCAAATTGCGAATAAACCATTCACCAAAACTATATACTGTCCTATATCATTGTATTCCTATTTTCATCAGGATCTAATTTATGCATCAAAATATTTCAATTTTTTGAAATTTGTAAAAAGATAGTGCTAAATTCTGCTAAATTGATGATCAATTTGCGCAAAACGTTTTCATTTCCCGAGGTCAAATTTCTGAAAATAGATGCCTTTGACTTTGTAGAATAGGGTATAAAAAAATTGACATCGGGAATTGAAAACGTTTTTTAAAATTCAAATTTCAAAAAATCAGAAAACTTATAACAGGCTCTTACGTGGGGCATGTATAAAAAAATCTAGAAGCCTAAATGGCAGGAAATTAAGTGTCGTAAGCCAGTTACATGAAAATTTGAAAAATAAAAATTATCCAATTTTGATTAAACTTGAAAAGCATGCTCAAAATAATATTTATTTGGTTTTAAAATTATTTAAATTTTAATCCCAAAAATTGGTTTGCGGGCGTACGGAATTACGCCACTGGGGGAGTTGAGCTGTCTCATCTACCCCATGACTTCGAATTTTAGAGAGTACTTGAGAAAAACTGATAAATTTATCAGTTTTTGATTATTTGTTAAAATTTCGAATTGTTCAAGTTTAACGACGGATTTAATAAATTTACGAATTTTGGATGGAAATTGTAATTTATTAAGATATCGTAATTTGCGTCTATGAGTTCAATTAATTTTCTAGCTCAATATTTTCCTTCGATTTCTTAAATTCATAGATAAAACTTGATGTTAGAATTATTTACAAAAATTCGGAATCAATAAATCATCAAAAATCGAATCTGTCGTTATTTTCATGGGGTTACAAACATCCTCGTCAACCCTGCAATGCCAATTTAATTGGCAAGTTACATATGTTCAATTTTTATACACTTATGATCTGCCAAATGTTTTATAAAATTTCTTGCAAAATTCAGAATTTCATATTATTTTTTGTAGTTAATTTGGATTTTAGTTCCTTTTGTAAAATGTGAAATTGCGACGACGGAATTAATTTAGCTAACAATTTTTCGTAGTAATGAACAATACAGATTTAGATAAAGTCATATCCAATGCGAGGCTATGGATAAGTGAATTTATGTTTTACAAATACTTTTTTGATTTTTTTTTCGAAATTATTTTAAAATTGGAGTAAATTTGGACTTCATAATTCAAGTGTAACTAATTACGAACCACAATTCTTACAATGTTACGAATCCTTCAAAGTCAACCTGGCGAATTACTTTCAGTCTTGCTCATTTGTCAGGAATGAAATTTATAAATTTCTTGCAAAACTGCATAACAAAATTTATCTTGGAACACTTTTTGACGCATAAATTGAGTTGTTTAAACTTTCTAAGTATGAAACTAATGAAATGAAAATGAAAAGTGTAAATTGAGGTTCATCGAGCCATTAATTTTTTACAGGAATGCCTTAAGGATTGATTGAATGAGGATTTAAGGTAGAATACATGTTTTGTCTCACTCTACCCCAGTTCAAATTTTTAAAATGGCATGAATTTCATGAATTTTGAGATAAATGCAACTTTCCACATACTTTAATGTAAAGTTAATTTTTGGTGCTACAAAACAAAACCTTAACTCTTTAACTAGTTAATTAGTTATTTGAGAGGAAGTTTATTTTGAAAATGTGGCAAATGAATGAACATTTTTTAAATATCTAAACATTTATAGTGTTAAAAAATAGCTCTTCATTAAAGTATGAAAAGCTGCATGTGTCTCAAAACTGGTGAAATTGATACCAATTTAGAAATTTATAATTAATCACATTAAACAAAGGTATGATGAGATTTAAAATCTATAACACATCAAGTCGTCATCATATCTAACCTTAATTGGTTACTGATTTTATAGCGGAGAAAATTCGACCATGCATCGCCCTAATTTTATACCTCTCTTATTTACCGCGCAATTCAAAATCTGTTACGAGCAAGTATACCAAACACAACTAAAACTAACAATCTATGCATTTTTCTTAGTGAGGCAAATACCTAGCAACAAAAAAATTACTAAGTATGCATTTGACCCTCCCCAAAAAAGTGACCACCGACGATATCTCAGTCATTTCTCAACCGATTTGGATGAAATTTGGCACCGATCATTGTTAGATAATTTGAAAACGATGTGCGAGTCGCCTTTTGGAATTTTTGTTTTTTGAGTTAGTTATTGGCAAAAATATGCGAAAATTTGCCCG